TTTTTTGGGAGTTTAGTTTTTTGAGCTTCCTATATATTCTGGTTATCAACCCCTTTTCTGATGTATAGCTAGCAAAGATTTTCTCCTATTCTGTAGGTGGACTCTTCAGTTTAGAGATCATTTCTTTTGTTGTGCAGAAGCTTTTTAATTTCACATACTCCCATTTGTCGATCCTTTTCCTTAGTTGCTGAGCTGCTTGAGTTTTACTGAGAAAGTCCTTGCCTATGCCTATTGTTCCTATATTAGCTTTAAGGTTTTCAGGTCTGATATTAAGGTCCTTAATCCACTTTGAGTTGATACTTGTACAGGGTGACAAACATGGATCTAGTTTAACTTTTCAGCAGGCAGATACCCAGTTTCCCCAGCAACATTTATTGAAAGGGCTGTCTTTTCTCCACCATATGTTTTTGGCACCTTTGTCAAAAATTAGGTGGGTGTAGCTGTGTGGATTCATATCCAGGTCCTCTGTTATGTTCTACTGGTCTTCATATCTGTTTATGTGCCAGTACTATGCTGTTTTTATTGTTATGGCCCTGTAGTATAGTTTGAAGTCAAGTATTGTGATACCCCCAGCATTGCTCTTTTTGCTCAATATTGCCTTGGCTATTCATGGTCTTTTGTGCTTCCAAACGGACTTTAGGGTCGAATTTTCAATCTCTGTGATGAATGTCATTGGGATTTTGATGGGGATTGCAATGAACATGTAGATTGCTTTTGGTAGTATGGCCATTTTTACTATGTTGATTCTGCCAATCCATGAGCATGGGAGATTGTTCCACCTTCTGTAGTCTTCGTCGATTTCTTTCTTTAATGGTTTGTAGTTTTCCTTATAGAGGTCATTCACATTCTTTGTTAAGTTTATTCCTAGGTATTTGATTATTTTTTGAGGTCAGTGTAAATGGAATTATTTTCTTGTATTCTTTCTCAATTTGTTCATTGTTGATGTATAGAAAGGGTACTGATTTCTGTATATTAACTTTGTATTGTGTTACTTTGCCAAAGGAGTTTATGATTTCTTAGAGGTTTTTTTGTGTGTGTGTGAGTTTGTAGGGTCTTTTAAGTATAGGATCATATCACTTGCAAATTGGGATAGCTTGACTTCTTCCTTTTGGATCCCTTTTATTTCTTGCTCTTGTATTAGTGCTCTGGCTAGGATTTCCAAAACTATATGAAATAAGAGTTGAGAAAGTGGACATCCTTTTCTCACTCCTGACTTTTTGGGTCTTTTAATGGTGTCTCAGAAGTCTCATATGTTCTGTTCATAGTGTCTCCTTACCATTGTCTGGCTGTTGTACTCACCCCCTTGTTGTATAGCCCTGACACTCTACCTTCTACTTGGTCCAGTATGCTGATGTTCTATTTGACCTATTAAGCTTTTATTTTATTTTATTTTTTTGGTGGGACTGCTGTTTGAAATCAGAACTTTGTGCTTGCAAATGCACTCTACTGCTTGAGCTACACCTCTAGTCCTTATTGAGCTTTTCATTTCCAGAATTTCAATTTGATTTTTTTCCAGGACTTCTGTTTATGCATTTCCTCTTTCATATCCTTTATTGTCTTCTTTATTTCTTTTTCAGCTTATTTGTTTATTTGTATTCTCTTAGAATTCATTCAGGTGTTTTTTTAATGTCCTCTTTGATTTCATTGGTCATTCTTGTAATCATTCTTTTGAATTCTTTGAGAAATTATCTACTTCACTATCATCAGAGTCTTGTTTTGGAATTGTTAAGTTTTGGACAAATCATGTTGCCTTGGTTTTTCCTATTTCTGGTGTTTTGCATTGGAACTTGTTTATCTGAGGCCAAGTTATTTATTGGAGCTCTTAATCTCCTTTAGTCACAGCTGAGTTAATCTCACTGTTCAGGCAGGACTAGGTAGTGACAAGGTTGAGTTGCAGTTTCTCACCATTGGACTCAGGGTGTAGCTTGGTATCCAAACATTCATCTACCTTCTCAGGGCACTGGGCCTGATCCCCCATTACTATTCAGAAGAAAACTAGTTCCTAATGTATATGTTGGTGCTATGTGGGTGCTGAGGTCATAACTGATCAATGGTCAATTGCCTGCCTCAGGGCTAATTTCACTTTAGAAGCTTCCCTTTTTTGTATCCTGGGAGCCACTGCTGACCACAAGGAACTTTACAACCTGTGGGCCAGACAGGTCCCCACTTGATGCACCCCCTAGTTTGTGCACCCATGGGAAGCAAGCATCCAAGCCTAGAAGTGTCTCCCCTAAAGTTTTGGAAAGTGTGGGGAGCAATTTTTGGACTCAGGCACTCTGCCTGATAATCTTGCCATTTTTAGACCCTGCCTAGCAGTAAACCACCCCACCCCTTGGTAGAAGAGGTGGGAAAATCATATGGTCTGCAGGACCTGGGCTCAGAGTTCTTATTCCCTCTTGGCAGTCCACACACATCTGGTAGGCAGAGGCTGAGCACTTTGCAAAGAGCACGGGTCCACACCATTCCCATCACTGCCTGACCCTCCCTAGCCCCAGACTCCCTGAGCCACTATTGTTCCATGTTTTCAGATCTCTTAGTACCTCAGTCTCAAATAATGGGTCCCCTCTCAAGATGGCTGTCAGCTATACTATTCCCAGATAAGGGGAGCAACAGAATGCCTGCTCGAAAATGTCTACCCTGTCACACAGGAATAGTCACTGTCACACTAAACTGCTGCACTGAGTTTAATGCTTGCTGGAAATACAGGTTTATCCTGCATTTAGGTCTGCCTATTGCCAGGGCCGCCTGGCTTACCAGGTGGTTGTGTCTTCAGCTTCTTCTCTCTGCTGAACACCTGGAGTTGGAGCTGCAGTCTATTTCCTATTTTGCCATTGTCTTTTTGTTTCTCCTTGCTTTTCATTTGTCCTGGCCCTCTTTCATGATTCTCAGTACTCTTTCTTTCTCCTTATAGAATATAGTCTCTTTTTTGTTACCCTGAGTTTTCTCATTCATGGATTCAAATGAAGAAAACTTCTAATCTGACATCCTGCCCCACCTCTTCGAGGATTTTCCAGTCTTAATTTTATGTTTATCATTTTTTAACTTTGTAGTTTATATTATTTTTGCCACACCAGTTCAGTTGTTGTTGTAGAGATTATTGTTTTTGCTTGGTTTCCACTTTATTTCTATATTTGGTTTAGTTGTATTGGTAGTTGTTATTTGTGTTCCTCTTTCTACATAGTGCTGGGGATTGAGCCTAACACTTCAAACATGTTGGGTAGATGCACTTTGCTACTGAGCTACACTTCCAGTCCAGCTAAGAGACATCACATCTTATTCCACTCATAGCCCAGCCCCACAGGAACCTGGAAAATATCTCAACTTAAAGAAAAGGGGAGATAAAGGCCAACAACTTGGCATCAAGTAGGCACAGCTGGGGATGGGGCTCTGCTGATGCTATATGTCCAACCCCTCCTGGACATCCCTTCCCATATGGCATTTGCAGAGAGAAGTAACGCTGACTGTGGATAGTACCTGTGAGGAACCTAAGTATAGTTCTTTCAGACTGTGCACGGCTGACTAGATGGTACCCAGATAGGATATACTTCATATTGTCCAGTGTCTGCAACACAACTGCATGCTACCAGAGCGATGCCACTCTTGTGAGACCTACTGAGAAAAAGGGACCCAATTTATTAGTATATAGTTTTTTATAATATTCTCTAATGATATTTTGGATTTCAGTGCTTTCTCTTGGAATACTGTAACATTCCAAATCTATTTTTGTTATTTTGATTTGTTGGATATATACTGGTAATTTAAAAAATTTACAGTATAGCCATACACATGGAATCAAAACATTGATGAATTATGACAGTGACATTGTAATTTGTGCTTTTACAAAGCTGTAATGCACAGCAGTGAGGGCCACATACAATTTGTCAGCTGCTTAGCTCTTACTGCAGTGCAGAAGAAGCTGTATATAAAGCACGATCGAGGCAATGTGGCTATTGTCCAATAAAACTAATGAACAAATTTCAAATTTGAAATTTGTATCACTTTCATATGTTACAAAATACTACATTTTTAACTATTTTTAAAAAATGTGAAAACCAGGGTTGGTGGAGTGGCTCAAGTGGTAGAGCACCTGCCTAACAAGTGTGAGACCCTGAATTCAAACCCCAGTACCACAAAAAAAAAAAAAAAAAGAAAGAAAAAAGGTGAAAACCATTCTTAACTCACAGACCACACAACAATAGTTGGTAGACCACACTTCACCCATGGCCACAGTTTGCTGACTCCCACTTTCAGAAGAAGCAGGGAGAATTGGATATAGGTTTTATTCATATATAAACTGCAGCATCCATCTTTTTAGTGAATCATGCTAATTTTTAAAAAGAAATAAGGAGATACTGCAATGCTTAAATGATGCCTTGTCTATAGAAGTCAAAATAAGGTCGTGGCTTTGGAATGAACAATATTCATGTTGAAATAAGTATCGCATTTGCCCATCTCTTATTCTTAATCATATTGTTAAGAAATTTAGAGACATTTTATATAGCATTGAAAAAATACTTAGAAATTTGACATTTATATTTAAATATAAAGAAAAAATATTTTGGGATGAAGCTTATAAATTACTGTTATCCTAATCTAGTTGTTTTCCTATCTAGAAATACTTTATTATTGGCTTCTAACTGATCTCATGAATCCATGATTGTTGAGAGAAAATATAATAATGTGATTCTTTGCAATATGAGGTGAATCTAAAAAGTGTTTTTATACTAAAAAAATCCATCCAATGAAATATTTACCATGATTGTTCTTTTTAGCATATATTTTATGGGAGACTAGATCTTTTCATGACAGGAATATTGAGTCAGAAACTTCTTAGAGTATTCAATAAGGATAAAGTTAAAAAATGCCACAGGGGAACAGGGAAGTATTTAAAGTTAAAATTAAAATATTGCAAGGTAAACAAGAATGGAGTTATACCTGAGTCATTTCTTCTAACTCCACAAGATGAACTGACAGAAATCTTCACTTACCCTCCTTTTCAGGTTTGTCGACCTGGACACAAAAGACATCACATACTATAAGTTCTGCTACTCATTTGGCTGCATAAGCATGATTCAGTAAGGTCTTTTGTTTGGTGCCTGGGAAAACAACAGAAAGTAGTAGCAAATATCAGCTTTGGAACTAAGCAGATAGGTCACTTGGATATTAGGCCCACCATCTACTATTTTCCTGGTCTTGAGCCTCATTTAACTTCTTAACTACAGTTTCATTTGTGGGAGATAATAGCTATCTTGTGTAGTTTTTTGCAAAGATTAGAAACAATGTGTAGAAAATGCCTGGCAGAGTGGACTTTCAGTAAGTGTCAGGCAGTGTTACGCTTTAGGACTAGCCTTTGTATCAGTGATTACACATAGGGATGTGTATTAGTAGGCCTCTATGGTATATAGCAGCGATAATTGTGAGTCAAGCACTGCAGACTGAATTGATTGTGAAGACCAGTTCTTGCATTCTTACTTCTGATATCCATATCTGCTGTGCATATAATTAACCTACAATTTCAAAACACCATCCATTTCACTATTTAAAACTTTAGGAATGGGATCTAGGGATGAGTGGTGGCTAAAGTGGTAGAGCCCCTGCCTAGCAAGTACAAGGCTCTGAGTTCAAACCCCAGTACAGCAAAAAGAAAATAAAGTTTTATTTTAGCAGACTCACTGTCTGCTTTGCCCTTGTGTGGTAGTAGTATGTGCTTAGAAGTATTATGGACTATTCTATATTCTGTATTTTAGGGTAGCCTTAATATAGCCTTAATGTAGTTTCCATTTCTTACAGCCATACAGAGCAGGAAATGTTAGCCTTCATACTGTGGTGTTTTAGGTGATTACATTTCCATATGTACCTAGGAAAAATTTATTACCCTTGTTTTTGAAGTTTTAGCAAGAATTTATTTTCATATAACAGGAGAAAGTAGGGAGAAGTGGAGAAGAAAGAAACATTTCCTGTTCCCCACAAAGGATATGGAAGTAAAGACTTCTGTTATCCTTTTTTATATTTATTTTTTGTTCTATTAGGAACAGAAATTGTGCTGATGGTACCTGGACATAAGTTTACTATTCTTAGTGAGAGAGTCCCTTCAGGATATATATAAAAATCTATACTTCTCTCCTGTGTCATTTTTTTTCCATTCTGGTTCATGGAAATCCAATCAGCCCATGGTGTAGGTTGCATATTTATCAGTCTTGGCAGATGAAATGAAATATGAGACATCCTTGTGAAAACTGGGGTTTGCCTTTCTGGAAATGACATTGCAGGTGCCAGAAGATGTTCACCTGTAATGGACTAAATTCACAGAAGCTCAGCTGTACTTGACTTTCAGTAATGCTAGATCATGATTCAGTGTTTATTTCCATTTAATTTTTTCTCCTAAGAAATACATGTTTTGAACTTTATTTCTTTGCCTTTATACTGATTGACAGTGGATTTAGTGTTTTATCCTTAGCAAACTCTGTAGTTGCTATTGCACATAAAGGATTTTTAGTTACTGAACAGATGTTAAGCAGATTAATTAAGTACTTAATTGTTCTCTTTGCAGTGGTGGTTCTGTGTATAATTTGTATACAGATGAGGATGAAGAAGCTGAGCCTTCTCCTTCTGGTCAACAGATCATTGAAAATTCAATAACTATGAATAAGATGAAGCTGCTGAAGGCCAAGATGGAGAACATGAATCTTGGCAAAAAGGTGATGCTGTCTTCCTCTAGCTTACCCCAACAGGGCTCACAGCATGGAGGCCTGTTGGTAATTATGAAGAAAATCATGTCATTTATTTCAAATTTCAGGCCTCAATAAATTGTGGGGATTTTTTTTGGGGGGTAGGTAGCAACATATCTGAAAGGATATTTATGCATTTAAAATCCATTTTTAGAATTTCATAACTGGAAGGAAGAATCATAAAAGATAGCTTAAGCTTAGCAATAGTTATTTTTTAAGCTGCTGTTTTATTTATTATGGAAAACATGTAGTATTCTAGCTTTTGTAGATATTGCCAGTTTTCCAAAGTAATTTCAAAGTGGTTAAACCAATTTACATTCCTCTCAGCATTAAATAAGACTTTCAGTTTTTCTAGTCTTCCCACAGTTTGGCATGGTTCTCCATTTTAAATTTTGCCATTCTGGTTGGTTTATAATGGCATCTCACTGTGGTTTTAATTTACATTTCTCTGATGATCAAGAAAGTTGACCAATTGTCATATGTTATTGGTCTTTTGGAGATCCTGTTTTATAAAATACCAGCTAAAATCTTTTGCCCACTTTTTTTAGAGGTAGGGATTATTGTTGGTTTTTTGGATATAAGTCCTTTGTCTCACACACACACACACACACACACACACACACACACACACACCATAAAAGACACACAGGTAGCCACATTAGTGATTTCTTTTCACTGTTAGTTGCTTTCCCCCTTTTCATATGTAATAAAAGTCACATCTTTAATGTGCTGCTTGATGAATTTTTAATTATGTATACTTGTTCAGACATAACCTAAATTAAAATAGATCCTGTTTTTCATTCTAGAAAGTTTCTTTATAATCATTCCCAGTCAGTAACTACTTCTTCTTACTCCCAGAAATGATTATTATTTTTACATCTGATGCCATAATTAAGTTTGCCTGTTCTGGAACTTTATATACATGCAATCATAGGGGATATATTCTTTTTTGGCCTGTTTAATTTGTTTAGATAATTTTTAAAAATCGATGTGTTGTTGTATATAACTAGTTATTCTTTTTATTTCTATATCCTACCCTTCTGTGTAACTTGCCTCAATTTGTTTGTCTTTCTCCTATTGATAGAATTCAGTCAGGTTGTCTTTGGGCTTGAATCAATAAAGCTGCATTGAGCATACTTATATTCTTTGGTAGATGTACAATCATAGGGAAGATACATGTTTAGCTTTAGAAGTTATGTCAAATAATTCTGTATAGCATTTGAACCACTTTATACTCCATAAATAACGTGAGAGTTCTAGTTTGTGCCATATCCTTGCCAATCCTTGACATTGTTGGTCTTTTTCATTTTAGTCATGCTGATGGTTTTCACTTATATTTCTTCTTTATTTTTTCCTTTGTGTGTGTCTGTTTGTGGTACTGGGGCTCGAACTCAGTGTCTTCACCTTGAGCTAATCCACCAGCCCTACTTTTGTGAAGAGTTTTTCTTTTTTTTTCTTTTTTTATTATATTCATATGTGCATACAATGTTTGGGTCTTTTCTCCCCCCTTCCCCCTGTCCCCTCCCTTAGCCCTCCCTGCCCCATGCTCCCTCCCTTACCCCCCCCAACCCCTTGCTACCAGGCAGAAACTATTTTGCCCTTATCTCTAGTTTTGTTGAAGAGAAAGTCTAAGTAATAATAGGAAGGAACAAGGGTTTTTGCTAGTTGAGATAAGGATAGCTATACAGGGAGTTGACACGCATTGCTTTTCTGTACATGTGTGTTACCTTTTGAAGAATTTTTTGAGATAGGGTCTCATGGAGCTATTTGCCTGGGTTGGCTTCGAACTGCGATCCCTCTGATCTCTGCCTCCTGAGTAGCTAGGATTACAAGGTGAGCCACCAGAGCCCGGCTTCACTTATATTTCTTAATGTTGTCTTTTCATATGATGATGCTGTCTTTTGTGAAGTGTCTGATCAGGTCTTTTGCCCATTTTTCAATTGGGTTATCTTCCTTTTGTTTATTTGTTTGTAGTAATTTTTTTTTTTTTTGGTGATTCTGGGGGTTGAACTGAGGGTCTCATGCTTGCTGGACAGACGCTTTACCACTTGAACCATGCTCCCAGACCATTTTGCATAGGTTATTTTTGACACGAGAGCCTCACTTTATGCCTGGGTCAGCCTGTACCATTTTCCTCCTATTTGTGCTTTCCTGGTGCATAGCTTGGATGACAGGTGCGTGCTACCATGCTCAGCTTTTATTGGTTGAGATTGGGTCTCATGAACTGATTGCCCAGGCTGGCCCTCGAACCCTTACCCACCCAGTCTCTGCTTCCCAAGTAGCTAGAATTACAGGCTTGAGCCATTGTGCAGGGCATTTTTAAAGATGTATTTTAGATTGCACTTTCACTTTCTTATTGTCTGTTGAATAAATGTTCTTAATTTTAATGTATTCTAATTTATCAATTTAGCTTTGATGATTATGAGTTTTTAAATAACCTTTTAATGAAATATTTTCCTACCACAGGTCTTAAAAACATGCTCCTGTGTTTTTCTCCAAAAGAGTTAAATAATTGTTTCTTCCTCTTTTAGAGTTATAATCTATTTGAAAAATTTACAATGTAATTTGAAGAGAGGTAAAGATCTTATTTTTCTTCAGATGGAGAATAATTGTCCTAGCTCTATTAAGGGGAAAACACCAACACTTTCCCCATGATTCTAAATGTTTGTACACATAATTCTAGAACTTTAAATAGGTAAAGCAAAAACCATGAAGGGAAATATTAAGTATCTACAGTCAAAGATTTCGACACTCTTACAAAAATTTATAGATAAGATAGGAGAAGAATTGTTAGGAAACATGAGTCTCACTGTCAACAAACGTAACCAAGTGACATCCACGGAGCACTTTGCCTAACATCACAGCACATGTCTCTTTTCAAGAGGCCACATGCAAAGCGTTTACTAAGGAAAGCCATATTCTGTGCTAGAAGGCAAGTCCTAATAAACTTTAAAAGGTGCAAATGAGGCAAAGATTCTCTGTTTACTAAGGAATCAAAATAGAAGTGAATAACAGAAAGATAGCTGGAAAATCTTGTGATGTTTGGAAACAACACACTTCTAAATAGGTCAAAGAAGAGATCCAAGGGACTCTCAGAAGTCTTGCATCAAATAAAATATTCAGATCATGTGATCATTTCTTTAAAAACATGAAATAATTCTCACATTTTTGGAATGAACAGCTCTTGCCTGGGTGTATTTTCCTTTTCATTGGCTAATATTTTATTTAATATTTTTACATTTAGGATTTGTGTTCATGGAGAGAAAATACTTTGTAATTTTCCTTTTCTAACATACAGCAAAATTGGAAGAATTTTACTTTATATTCCCTCCCCCCTTTTTAAACAGTTTTAATGGGTTTCATTATTCTGTGTCTATGTCTTTTTTAAAATCTAAATTGTACATATAAAAAAAATACATGTTATTTCTCATTCTGGTCTGGTTTATTTTGCTTAACTGATGATGTCGAGTTTCATCTATTTCTGAAGCTATTTCATTCTTTTCTCTCAAAAAATGCTGCACATGTAGTGTGTATATGTATATATATAAAATGGAGTATTATAGATATATGTGTGTGTGTATATATATATATATATATATATATATATATATAAGCCACATTTTCTCTATCTGTTGATGAGCTCTATTTTACCTTTTTAATTTTGAAAAGTGTTCGGTTCTTCTTTCCCAATGAACAGCCATGTATACACTCTAATATTTCTCATGTTTTCTCTTTCTCACTCATTTCCCTTACCCCCATGCATTGCAAGTTAGTTACAAATATCATGACACTTCTAAATACTTCATTTAGCACATATCTCTTAAAAAATAAGGGCCTTCTCCTATACCATACAGCTAACACACTCACATAATTTATCATCAATGAGACATTCTGTTGTATATTCATATTTCCAATAATGTGCTTGATAGCATTTTGTTTTGTTTTTGATCTGAGATTCAATCAACAATCACTTAGCCAGGCATAGTGATGTATATCTGAAGTCCCAGAGACTCAGGAGACCAAGGCAGGAGAATCACTTGAGCCCAGGAATTCAGGGCCAGCCTGAGGCCTCATCTTAAAAGATAAAGAATCAGGAGAAGTGACCCAAACAATGTATGCACATGTGAATAAATGAATAAAAAAAGATGAAGAATCACACATTGTATGTAGTTGTAGTGTATTCTCAGTTCCTCTTATGTAGAACTGTTTTTGATCTTTTTTGACATTCATGTCAGATATTTTTAAGGAATATCCCTCAGTTTGGATTTATCTGATAATTTCATCATGATTAGATACAGGTCCAACACTTTTGGCAGGAATAGTACAACATATCAGCAGGCAATGTCAATTTGTAGCATCTTAATTTTTTTAAAGAAATTTACCATTTTAGTATTTCCCCTTTAGCCAAAAGTGGTTTAACAGACTTTAACATTTTTTCTGGTGGGAAAAGCTTTTTGATTTTTTCATTGTTAAATCTGTTTTATTCATGGAAGTCAATGTTTATATTTTTAGTGTATAGAATTTTATTCTTTTATGTCTGGTATAGTTTCTGTGCATGTCCATGTATACTTCAAAAGGTGGCTTATTCTCTAACTTCAGGGTGAACATTTGGCAGATCTTCCTCACTGGTTGTTGTTGACATCCTCTATTTCCTCATTGTTTTTGCCAGTTTGATCTTCCTTGGGATGAGAACTCTGACCCATGGAGGTCTGTTGCTTAGTGTCTCCCATCCTTTTTTGTTTTAAGGAGCTGGTTGCGTTGTGGTTCTTGGTGCTGCTGCTTCTGAAAGTTGAGAAGTATCTCCCTTCTGCCACTTGCCCTGACTTGATTGTCTATTCTTACCTGCTATCAAGGCCCATGACGTCTGATATCTTTTGACATATTAACTAGCAACAATCAGTGAACTTATTGTACTTTCTCTTTTCTTTCTTCTTTTCGTTCCCATTAAAAATTGCAGTATTTCTGCTTTT